AATTTTGATAATTATAATAAGGTTGTGTAAAAGAATGCCTTTGTTCTTAGGAAATACATATTAAAGTATTTAGGGGTAAAGGTACATGATGTCTCCAACTTACTCTCAAAAAGTTCAGAAAAAATATGCATATGTAAACATGTGGATAGAGAAGGATAAAGAAAATGGGGGTAAATGGAAACAGTGGATGAATCTGGATAAAGGGCATATGGGAGTTCTTTGTACTATTTTTGATATTCTTCTATGTTTTGAAATTTATCAAAATTTAAAGTTATTAAAAAACCAACTGTAGCCTCCATTTGTAGGAGAGACACTTGTGTACACATTAATTCTTTTAAAATAGTTTCCTCAGGAGGCACAGTACTCTTCACCACTTTAGTGGGGACTAGATAAAGACATGAAAGACAATCTTGTCAGATCTATAGGTGAAAAAGAGCTGGCTAACATTTAGGGTGACAGGCTGAGAATCTAAGCCCTCAGTAGGATGGGAACATTGGCCCAAATCGAACACAGTGAAACATAATGCTCCCCTGATGTTAAATTGAATCAAGTGAGATGAAATTTAAAAGGGATGAGCAACGGGAAGATGGTGGCGTGAATAGTTCAGAGGAAATCTCCTCCCCAAAATATACATATTTATGAAAATACAATAAATACAACTATTCCTAAAAGAGACACCAGTGGATGCAGTACAACAGCCAGGATACATCTACATCTGCGAGAACTCAGTATCACACGAAGGGGGTAAGATACAAGCCACGGCCAGACGGGACCCGAACGCTCCCACACCCCAGAACCCGGCAGGAAGAATTTAAAAGGGATAAATGGTGTTTTATATTTATCATTAAAAACATTAACTCAGTAAAGAAGAGGAAGACATGGCCTAAGGGTGGCATATACCAAAACAAACAAGTTTAGTTAAGGGCAACTTCAGTCTGCTGATATAATATAGAGGCTACTACAACCTGTGATTGCCATAAAACAATTATGGATTCTGAGCTGCATTAAGAAACATACAGACTCCAGAACAAGAGATGAAATGAAAACATTTGAGGAACAGCTGAGGAAACTAGGGATATTTAAACCCTCAGGGATTCCTACTGGCTGCCGTCTGTTGGCTTGGCCTCCAAACTGGGGAGAAAAGTTTACATATTCTCCATTGCTTCACAGGGTGAAAATAGGACAGAAGATGGAAATTACAGGGAAAGTGAATATGAGAAACAATTTTCCAAATATTTAAACAGTCTGAAAATAGAAAGGAGCTATCTAGTGAGGTTGTGAGTTCCTTATCATTGGAAATATTAGAGGAAAGATATTATCAGTGCCACTATAATAAAAATTTTTACAGCAGGAAGGACCCTGGGTTAGATAGACCTCTGGTTCCTTGAACTCTGAAATTCTAGGCAATCATGTGGCTGTTTTGAAAAAAACAACAACAACCCACCAACCTCATTAGTCTGTGACCTTCATTACATCATATTTACACAAACTGCCCACAAACCCATTGTTTATATAAGGCTTGGGAGCCTGAATGAGGAGCCTCCTCACTTTGATCTCTCTCTGCTTCTCGGCCCCTGCCTCCATGCCAGCCCCCCCATCTGCCCCTTGGTTGCTCTGTCCAGAACTTTCTGTGTCTGCTTGCAGAATGGGACTTGCCTTGAGAGATGTGTAATGGTGAAAATTCTAGGTGATGTCCCAGTCTCCCTACCTAGGCTGACTCTAACCTATATATGGCATTTGCTTTCTGAGCACAATTAACACATTTGAGGCATTTATTTGGGGTGCCAGCATTCCAGCTCCTGGCAGAAAGCAGGGTAGAAGTATGAGTTCTAAGCCCCAAGTGAAGCTAGCCCCTGAGGAGGGACTGCGAATCTTAAAACCATGGTAGAAAATGGAGATAAGATAGAGGCTCCCTTTCTCTGCTGTGGTCTCTCTCCAGTTCTTTTTTGTTTTAATCACAGGAAGAATGATTAGCCAGTCGAGGGAAGACAGGGGAAGAAAGCAGATGAGTTTTATCTGGCTGGGGTCTGCCTGAGCCGCAGCCATGTGACTACCTGGCTGACCTGGGGTCTCCATCATGTTCCCACCTGTCCACAAGACAGATCAGGGTGCCCTTCTCCACTGCCCTCCCGGCTCATTCCAGGAGAGGGTTGCTAGGATAATTATAGCCCTGCTTGTTTCTCTCCCCTCTCCTACTCCTTGGAGTCCTGGAAATATTTTACTTTCTCAGGGGCCTGGGAAACTTCTTCCTCACTGTGGCAAGCTAGAATCTGGAAGGTCCCTTCCAGCAGAAATACTGAGGTTAGAGTCTCAGAAATCATCCCTAATTTTCACCCAGTGGTAACTGGAAATCTATTGTTTTGCCTTTTATTCAGCAACACAGAGCCTCTCCCCAAACAGGCAGGCCCTTTCTGGTATCCACAAAGCTGCTCCCCTCATAAGGGCCATTGGAGTAAACAGACCTGGACTTGAATCCTAGTTTTATCCATTACAAGCTCTGTGACTTTGGGAAAGAAGCAAAACCTCTCAGAGCATCTATTATTCCACTTGCACAATGGGAATAATTATACCTACTTAACAGAATTTTTGTAAAGACTCAACAAAATAATATACATAAAGCTCTTAGTCAGTGACTGGCAAAATAAGGACTCAAACATGGCAGCTCATATGCGACTGTGCCTTAGCACAACAACAGAAAAGATGGTAAAGATTCGGGAAACAGACCAGGAAGGAGACTCAAAGAAGAAATGGTGAAAGGGGTGCATCTGGTTAAGCCCAGGAGGGATGAAGAGAAAGAGAAAGAAGCCTGAGATAAGGAAGGGAGAAGGGGTCTCACTGGAGACTAGCCTGCAGAGAAGGAGAGAAAGTTGAAATGGACAGAACAGGGCAGAGCTGGGGAAAAGGAACAGACAGCAGATAGGGACGGACAGACAGCAGATAGGGTCGGACAGACAGCAGGTGGGAAGGGAAAATGGAATGACAAAGATCAGAGAGAAAACCCAGCTGGTGTGAGATAGACAGGAGGTGCTGGAGAAGATGGAGAGAAGGAAAAGAGAAAACCGAAGGGGGTGGTCCAAATGATACGGGGAAGCAGGAGCAGGACAGACAGAGAGCGAGTAGGGAAAGCAGAAGACGGACAGACAGATGGCAGGGACAAGAGGGTGCCCCGGGTTGCCTGCATTCTGCTGTGTTTACCAGCTAATTGAGTTAAATTGTTGTCAGAGATGTAATTAAAGGGTAGAGAGAGCTCTCTGGCAGGCCCGAAACAGATGGAGGGGGCTTTAATTGGTAATTAAATTCTTCCCTGGCAGCTGAGGAAGGAGCTTGTGCTTCAGCCTCACAAGGCCACGGGTGGCCTTCCCCCCTCTTCTGGCCCCTCTCAGGGGCTCTTTGGGGAGGGGGCTGGGCTCTGCACACCAGCAGCCTGGCAGGCAGGGAGGCCTGGTAACTGCAGGAGAATGCCAAAGCAGCGCTCTTCCCTGCGCAGGCTGGCTCAGCTCCCACGGGCTAATCCAAGCAAACCCACCCCCGTGCCTGCCCCTTCTTGACCTCCCAGCTCCCACCCACCAAACTAGCATTGGCCAGTGAATTCCTTGTGGCCCCTGCTACTTCACTTGGTATCCCAGGGAAGAGTAATGGGCTCTGCCAACCGCCCCCACCCTGCCCCCACCGATCAGCTCGGGAAGGGTTAGTTGGTTTAGTCAGGGACTCAGGCAGACCCAGCTGTTGGCATGCCTCCCACGAGCTTCTCAGCATCTGCCCCTCCCCACTGCCCCCGCTTCCAGGAGCCACAGTGCAAAGATTCTGTTCTGCCTGGCACATCACCACTGTCTGGCGCTGACTCTGCACCCATGCCTGCCGTCCCCCCAGCTCCCCAGCAGCACATCAGACAGGATGGGATCAGCAGCCTTGATGGGCAGATTGGTCAGACTCTCTAAGATGGGAACATTTAGACTAATCATCTTTCAACTCCAAATCTCAGTTTGACCTGCATTTCAATGGAAAGGACCCTTGGGAGGGCAGATTTCCCCGAAACCCACATAGTCGAGACATGTTCCACTTCAAAGAAAGAGATAAGTAAAAAGAGAGCAAAGAGGCAAGACTTTAAATAAAAAAAAAAGGGCGGGTGGGAGGGCAGAAAGGGAAGTTAGGCAGAAATAAAATCCAAGACAGACATTGTGGAATTATTGTAAAATGCATGGCTGACTGTAAGTCGGTAATACAGTGTAGACCTGTACAAAAGAAAGCTCTGTGCTGGATGCATAAAGAACCTGGGGATCATTCTTTCTTTATAGCTCAGCTGATCAGACAGAAGTTCTTTGTCTTGCTTGGGGCTCCATGGAGCCCAGAGCGACATGGAGGAGCTTAGGAGGGTTTCTGGGAAGGGCCATAGAAATGACCTAAAGGTCCAGGAGGCACAATGCCCAGAGGCCCACTCTGCTGTCTGGTCTTCAGCCCCACACATGCTGTTCTCTCTGGCAGGAACTATGTGCCTCACCCTCCCATCCTCCTTCCCCAGACTATCCTAAGGGCATAGCCTCACCCTCATTTCTTTAGGAACACTCTTCTCGCCTTATCTCCCCTACCCTAACAGCTCCCTATCCCAGCACCCCAATGCTGCTAGCTGCATCCTGATTCCCTCACAAGGCGGCTGTAAGCTGAAAGGTCAAGGATCAAGTCCGTTTCACTCACCACTGTTTGCCCAGCACCCAACCAGGACCTGGCAATTAGTAGGTGTTGAATTCATTTTTGTGGAGAGAAGAAAGGAACACAGAACGTTCAGCATGCAGGCAAACTCTGAAAGTCATCAGTAAAAGTTATACAGGTGAGAAGGCTAGAAATACAGCAGAGGTTTAGGTTAGCTTCAGGGAAGACCTTTTTTTTTAATCTTTCTATATTTGCTAAGGGAGAATGAGGCAATCTCTTTTAGAGATAGAAAGAGGTCAAAGTCTAATTGATAGTCAGCCCTGATTGCAACCCTCCATTTCAACTGGCAGCCAGGAGAATGAATTTAATGGCTCTCAAACACCAGAATCCCGCCTTCAGTGCTGAATTTTAAATCAGTAAGTCTAGAGGTGGGGTAAGAAATTGCATTTAAAACATTTTCCTAGGTACCTCCAATGATTAGAAACCACTAGATTAAATGCCAGGTTTCTTGCGGCTACAAATGTTTGTTTTTCTTTTCTTTTGCTTGCTATAAACCCACCCACCCCCAAGAATGAATCAGACTGGGTGATTCTGATAGGTCTGAAAGAAAGCAAGCTTTGGGAATACTGGCTTCTGCATTCTCCACAGAACCTAGGCCAATGCATGCTTGTCGCGTGGGCCCTTTCACTGCAGGCTGAATGACGTCATGGTCCCTGGTGACCACTCTCTACTTTCCCCATTGAAAAGACCAAACTTAAAATGCATCTGATTTTAACCCTGGTTTAGCAGCCCCATCCCACAAAATGATACTGAAATACAAAAGTCATCAAAGTCAGGGCCTGCTGGAGCTAAGGGTTGAGCTCTGCATTTGATTTGTCTCTGCCTTTCCTGGTTGGCATCGTCCCTACCACATCCTGATGAAGCCCAGTGGGCTTCCCCCAGATGGCTCCAGATCACTTCCCTTACCCAGGAGATCGAGGGGACAGCTGAGGAGAGAGGATGGGACATGACCTCCCCTAAAGCAATCTCCTCCTTCTGCCTCCCAGTGAGAGAGAACTCCTGGTACAGGCTGCTCCTGTGGGCCCCCGGCCTTCACAGGCCACCACAAGGCCTCAGGACCTGCAGGGTTAAGCAGCTCCCCTGGCTTGCTTCCTAGCTCCTCGAGGCTGACTTGCCCATACAGCCAAGTCTTCATTAGCCAAATACAGTCATAAAACCGAGCCTCTTTATTGTTCTTCATTCTCTCTCCTGTATTGCCTCTGTGGCCTGTTATTTAGACTCTCAGAATTCAGAGCTGGCATGAATCTCAGCCTTCTTCTGTTATAACAATTTTCAAGTCCTGGACTTCAACCAAAGCAGTTCTGCTTTTCTCTGTTTTTTTATAAGATGTTAGAGTTCTGGTCAGTGGTGTGCTGGTAAAAGTTTAACAGCTGCTCTCACTGGGTTGGTAGTGGAGAATTCCTGATTGGCAGCATTTATCAATTTCTGGGATGTAAATACTCCCACCAAAGCCCATTTCAAGCTGCCAACCAGAAGTCACCAAATGAAAAGTTGGGAAATGCACACAACAGGCTTTTCGGAGCCAGTGCAAATCAGCAAGTCCCAGCACTAGTCTTGGCCTTCTTTTTATAAGAAGTTTGAAGACCATTGTCTAGCACTACGTTTTAAAAATGAGGTAAATGAGGCCAAGGGAGATTAAAAGAGTTATTGAGCGTCACACAGCTAACCAGACCCAGAACCCAAGCCTCCTGATCCCCAAATCTCCTGATGCCACACTACAAACCCTGCTCAGCTGGAAGGGAAACCAGAAATCCTCGCAGGCAGCACCAAGGCAGTAGCTCTGGGGACGGACTGGCGGCAGACAATGTCAGACTAAAGGCCAAAGGGTCTTGCTGCCAACCTTTGCTGGGTTCCCACTTGGTCTCCTTATTCTGCACGGGGGCAAAAGGTCTCCCAAATCAAAGAACCTCAAGCTCAAAGAGCCCTATTTTCAACCAAGCTCGTTCAGTCCTCAGGGTATGACTTGTCCCCATTCCCTGCTGTGATGACACAGGCAACCCCAGCCCCCCTTTTCCCCAAGTCAGTCTCTTTTTCAAACCTATGAAAGCCCTTGGGTGATGCGTTGTTTGCTATTGAGGGGGCAGGGGAGGAACTGGGAAAGAATAAGCCCTTTCAGACAAGTCTAGGAATGATTGGTTCAGCAGCTGTTATATTTTCTTCCTGGGTAAGAGGAAAGGAGGGAGTGTGGTGGATGCTAAGTAAAGCGACTTGATCTTCTAGAACCCTGGATTCTAGCTCTAGCTCTGCCAGTAATTTGGGTGATCCTCTTCCTCTCTCGAGGTGTCAGTTTCCCCATCTGTACAATGAAAGACTAGAATTGATGCTTTCCATGAATCGCTAGGGAAACTGTGTGGGCGACCACTCAATAATGTCTGTCCCCTACCCCGTTCCACTCCTGTGTCCCACTCTTTTGCCTGCTTCAAAAGAACCCTTTCCTCCTCTGAAGACACTCCCCTCTCATTACACAACAGCCCACAAAGGCTCCTTCCCTCCCATTTCTCTGCACATAGATAGGAGACATGAAGTCTCCCAGGACTACCATGGGGCTGCCCCAGGCGGGCGACTGGTCTCCTGTTTCCTAGTGATTCTTTGGGTCTCTTTCTTCCCAAGGAGCTAGAGTCACAGTGCCAAGAAGAAGGAATGAGAGGTGGGAGGGAGGGGTGTCATCCTTTTTCCCTAGCCTCTGCCCATCTCTCCCTACTCCAGTCTGGTTTGCCAGTGGAGGGGAGGGACATGGGAATAGAATCCTGGGCTCCCAAGCCTGCCCTGCAGCTTCTCACTCCACCGTCTTCCCCTCCACAGAAAAAAAATGGGTCATGCTCAACAAGGGTCGTTATTGCCAACCTGGCCCTGCTGCTGCCTGATAGGGTCCAGCACCCCCCCACCCCACCCCCCGCCAGATCTCATTAAGGGGTCGCTGCTTATGCTTCCCAGCTGCCCCCCATCCATCTTTGGCCACGGATGACAGACTGGGCCCGGGGGCTGATGTCTGGCAGGTGACAGGGTTAATGGCAGAAGAGGGCAGAGGGCAGAGGCCAGCCAACTCGCAGTGGTGGGAGGGCATCCTGGGGAGGCTCTGGATCCACTGCAGTTGGGCAGCCCCTCAAATTACAGCACCTGGGGGAGGGATGAGACCCAAGGCCATCCATCCCTAGGGAAGTAAGGTGGGCAGTATTGGCCATCTTGGGAGCAGATGGTGGGAGTAAAGAATGCTAAATGGGGAGGAAGAGAGGTGAAGAGACTTAGACAAGGGGGAAGGGCTGGAAAAAGAGGAAGAAAACTCCCTAGATATGTGGGCTCAGTGAAAAAAAATGGCTGTTGGATCTCAGGATGCCCTCAGGCAAGAGACACATACTTTGCTGAGGTGTATGAAGGCAGGTGAGTGTTTTGGAGTGCACGCCCATAACCAATTCTGTTTTCCCTCCCAGCAGCCCAGCGCTATGGTTAGGCGCAAGATTCCAGAGTCAAACAATGTGAATCCAAATGCTGACCAGATCCTCCCTGTGTGACCGGGGTTAGTAGCCTAACCTCTCTGAGCTTGATTTTTTTCCCTCTGTGGAATGTGGATCTAGTAGTTCCCAGCTTGTGAGTATGAACTGACATGATGCAGGGAAAACGCAGCACCTGGCCCACTGCTTAGCTGCTCTTTGTAGTAACAGTATTGGTTTCATTTGCTGCCTCTCATCCAACCCCAGGTTTTTCTCAGGCCTTCTGTCTTGGGACCTCCCCTCATCTGACCTCTTACATGCCCAGGATTACCTCCTGGCCTGCTCTACTCACTCCCAGGGAACTGCATGCAGACTGCTGCTGTGGGGGCAGCTGCCCCCCTCATTACCCCCAGAGGAGAGGCCCCACAGTGGTAAGGGGTAGTCCCCCTGGGCCTTTGAAGCCTGGGGAGGGGAGGGGCTGCCCTGTACTCCTAACCTGGGGGAAACAGGCTCAGTCCCCCACCTCCCACCGTGCAAGTAGAGCAGATGAACAATGAGCAGGGGAGGGCTGGCTCCAACGCTGGCCAGCTGGTAGTCAGGCAAGGGGGTAGGGTAGGGGTGAGAGCTTGCCCCCTGCAAAGCAAGCAGCAAGTCCTGCAGAGAGCTGGTAGTGGCTGGGGGTCCTGCCCCGATAAGGACCCCGGATGTCAGGGATGAGGAGCAGAAGGACTGTTGCAATGTGCCTCCTTGTCTCAAGTTGTCCAGAGAGCCTCCTGGAGCAGGTGCCAGGAGCCCCTCCTCAGTTCTAAGGACCCCTTCATCTGCACTCTACTCTCAGTGTGGGCAAAAGAGCCAACTAGCTCTGCTCTGCCCTCCTTCCAGAGCCTGGATGGAGTGGCTCCCCCCAGGTGCTGATCACCTCCATTAGGTCCTCAATCTTGCGAGGATAATGCATGGCCCAGGCTGGGTTGGGGAAAAGGCCCCGCCTGCAGGGGAGCCTGAAGGCAGGACGCAGGGGCCTGAGCAGAATACTAAGCAGCCAGTCTGGGCCTGAGGCTGCTCCTTGCGGCCAGCAAAGCTGGCTGGGCCAGGAAGGCATGTGGTGGGGGGTCTGTCTCCACCCTCCACAGCCCCTGGCCACCTCTGTGCCCTCATGCCAGCTCCACAAACTCCCTCCTGTGGCTGAGCTCCCAGCGCCTCAGGGTGGCTTCTCCTTGCGAGGGGTCTCACCTTCCCAAGACTGTCAGCCCTGTGAGGTGCCAGGGTCCTGGGTAGCAGAAAACAGTGGCAGCTGCTCCACTCAACTGGACCAGAAGTCCTGCTCAGCTCCAAACTTCTGAGGATGATTCAGCAGGACCAGAATTACAAACCACTCTTTTAAAGGGTGGGAAGACTCTGAACATGGGAATATTACCCCCTTTCATTGTCCACAATTGTCAAATGAAATCAACTACAACACATCCTTCTAAAGTGGGTATTGCCATGCTGTGGCCTGCTCCTTGTTCAGTTCAGTCCCTTTTAGGACATTGCTGCCTTTGTCAGTTTATTCTTGTCGTCCATGCCTCTAATCCCAGGTCACCCCACCACACACTCTTGCCTTCCACTGGGAAAGCCTTTTATACTAGCCTGTGTGTCAGACTGCTGTTGGTGGAGCCCTTCCACTCCTGAAGGTGCATCTGACTCTCACCACCCTGCCGGATAGGACAGGTGTTACTGTCCCTGGAGTCAGACAAATCCAGGTTGCGAACCAGCATCCCTGCTTACCAGCTGTGTGATCTTGGGCAAGCTTCTGCATTTCTGGGAGAGCCTGTTTCCTTATCTGCTAAGTGGGGATTAAACTAGTATTGTCTATGCATTGGTTATGAGAATTTGTTAAATGAGATCATGCTAACATAAAGCATGTAGCACAGTGCCTGGCACATTATAAGTGCTTAAAAATGGCAAAGGGAAAAATTTTTTTACATTCCTGTTTTATAGGTGAAGAAAATGAAGTCTCAGAAGGTAAGAGGTTGGGCTGGGTCACAGAATTAGAGGCGGTGCTGAAGGGAGGTCTCCAGACTGTCAGTCCTTCCCATGCCTCCCCAACCCTGCTACCAACCCCCCTGGCGCCACCCCTCAGCCTTGTCCCCAGAGTTCTCATGCTCCCAGCATTGGGGTAGCAGGCGCCAGGCCCCAGCCTCTGAGTTTTCCCTGCATGTGAAAAGCGGATTCTCTCTCTTCCTTTCAAGATCAAGTGGCAATGTTTGCGATAATGGGAGCCACAATCAGAAATTGAAGCCCATAATTCACCGGTGATCAGATGTAGGGGAGGTGCCGAGACAGTTACATTAATAACTGTGCCATTAAAAACTAGCAAGTGATGTTCTCATAAAGCATGTGTTGGTTGCTGTGGTTGGGTGTGTTTATTTATTTATTTTTCCCTTCAGGAGCAAACAGGGCCACAGAGGGAGAACATTAAATTATCTTTTGAAATGATTCTGGTAATAAGGCAGGCAGGTTAGGAGAACTGTCGGCAGCTCCTGCCAGACCTCCTTCGACCTTTCTGAACTCCTGTCTTTCACTTGGCCTTGTTTTATAAGGGTGCGATTACTCCCTTCTGAGTTAGTTGTGTCTCTTGTTTAGACCTGCAGTCTAGGTAAGCAAAATGTACATTTTTCTCATCAGACAAGCAAGTAAGAGCAGTCATATATTATTCCTTGCCAGAAATCAGAACATGCTGTCGTTGACATGGAAAAGAGAGGAGACGTGTAGGGACAAAAGCTTTGAATATTTGAAATAAGTACTGTTCTGAAAAATCAGGTCCACCAAGGACCCCATAATAGCATCAGTAACAACCAAAAAAATAACATTTGTGGTTGATGATGCACTTTACATTTACATGGGTTAACCCATTTGATCTTCACAATGACCCCTATGCAATGGGTACTATTATTATTCCCATTCTACACATGAGGAAAGTGAGATCTCATAGCTGCTCAGTGGTAGAGCTGGGATTGAGCCCCAGCCATTCCAACTTCCCTGTCTATGCTCCCAGCAGCGGTGCTGCCTCATTCTTCACTGGGGATGGTGCCTTTTCCATCTTTAACTGTCTGAGATGGGGATGCCCTGGCCTGAGCAAAGGAGTTGATTCCAGAAGCCCAAGAACTTCCTGCCTTAATAGTCCCAGCTATGGTGCTCCAAGTACCTTCTGCGGGCACGGCAGTTCTGTGCATGATCTCATTTGTTACATTGCCCTTGAGGTTGGTGCTATTCCCACTCTGCAGATGTGCACGTGGAGACCTAGAGGTGTCTAAAGGCAGACCACGGCAAGCAAGCACCAGAGGCAAATCCAGGGCTTACTGCATGCCCCGCCGCCCTGTGCACGCAATTTCTCCTGCTCCATGCCAGTATTTTCATGATTCTAACACTCCAGGATCAGGTTTGAGCAAGCCCCATGGCCAGTTTAACCCACTTCCAGGACGCCTGGATTCCCTGAGAATGGTACAGACAGGAGGCACAGGCAGTCTCTCAATTTTACATTAAAAGAGAAAGGCCCCTCCCTCAAGTTCCTCCCTCTCCCCCGCCTCAGCGCCCTTCCAATCACATCAGAGACCCCAGAGGGGGCCTGACCTGTGTCCCCGGGGGAGGTCAGCCGGGGTGACCCTGCCTGCTTGCAGGAGCCCGTGAGAGAGGCCCAGCTGCAGGCCCCCCGGCGCTGGCAGCGCACCCGGAAACGGGCCGCGGGTCGCGGAGGACGGCCGGCCGGGGGAGGGGCTTCTCCGGCCTTTGTGAGCTGACCGGCTCGGGGAGATTAGTTCCACAGGCGGCCCCTGTGTCTCTAGAGAAAGGGGCTATTATGGAGAGACTCAAAATACATGGCACGGCCCACCCCACCTCCCCTTTTATCGCCATGGAGATGAGGGAGGCTGCGGGGAGGGGAGGGGAGGGGCGGTTCAAAGAGCAGAAGGGGGAGGGGGAACGCAGGGCAGGTGAAACCGGGAGGCTGGAAGAGGGGGTGGGAGTGGAAGCCCGCTCGGCCAGAGGGGAGGGCCCTGCGCTCTTCTGCCTTTCTCACCCGTTCTCCCCGGAGTGACCGGCGGGATTGGCAGCCTCATCTCTCCCTTACTGCTTTCTGGCTACACCCTGCTGGGTGGGGGCCGCCACAGACATTGCCTGGGGCTGCCAGGGCAAAGAAGGGTTTGCCCACCACCCCGCAGTTGGCCCTGTGACCTTTGAGGGTGAGGTGTCTGACCATCTGGGATTAAATTGCAGGATGGCCACAGGGAAGGCAGCTGGTGAACAGCTGCAAGGCCTTGTCCAGCTTGGGGACATACCAAGTGCCCCACCCAGACCGTTGACTTGTCAGAGGCATGTAGCCCAATCTCCTACCCCATCATCCAGCCTAGAGCGTCAGCCCGAGTCCTCAGCGCTGGTGACTTGCTCACCTGGGCCCTGTGGGGCCTCTGGTTGTTAGAAAGGGCCTCCTTATATTAGGTAAAAGCCTGTCTCCCTCTTACCTCCCCACATGGGCCTAGTTCTGCCCTCCAGGGCTACATAACGGAATAAAGTATGCATTTAATAAATATTGTAGAAAGAAAGGATAAAAGTCTGACACTTCTTGACTTGGACTATTTGGAGAAGCTGCTGAGAAGGTAATTTTGTTGGCCAAAAAAAAAAAAATATTGTAGTTAAAAAAAATATCCAAAGCTAAGTGAAAGTCCTGGGATGGGAGGTATTCCCAGCCATTGAGCCCTGGATGCCCAGAACACATCTCAAGATGCCAGGGTTCTGGATGCCATCCTGATGTCAGGGCAGAAGATTGTGGGCAGGGCCTTTGGTATGCTTCAGCAAACTGAGCTTCTGATGAATATCCAGCCCAAAAGACGGAAATGGAGCCCAGGGGATTATGGCTGGTCTTTGGCTCTATGCCTTAGGATTCCTGCTATAACCTTGAGAACTGTCCTCCATCCCAAACAGGATGCTCTTGAAAAGAGAGGCCAGCTCCTAGCAAGCAGCCAGAGGCCATGTGCTTTTATCAGAGATTTAGAAAGGAATGAACCTCCCTCTGGGAGCTAGAGGTTCCCAGATGGAAAGATTTGTGATCCCATAATTTGGAGAGACTCAAAGATTCAGAACCGGGTCCTCCAATTGACAAGATAACAAGTTCCAGCCTGCATTCTGGGGAGCCCACCTTCAAAACTCTTCTTACCAAGGGGGGGTGGTGTTGGTCACGAGGCTGTGTGGGGCAGAGAGGCTGGAAGAGGGTCAAGAACAAACTTTATTATGGAGGAGGAGCTTAGGGTTCTCCCTTTCCCCTGTGTTCCTCCCTAGGCTACACTGCCTGGGGGTGCCTAGAGAGCCAGCCTAGGACACTGCATGGGCTTTCAGAACAGGTGCAGTTTATGTGCACCAAGTGCCAGAGATAAGCTGAGACTTGTGGTCATGCTAACAAAAGCCACATCCTATGCTCAAGAACAGTTGTTTCAAAATGCAGGCCTCAGCAGGTGCTGAAGATGGCCCTGATCCTTGCATTAGAGAGGTAAAGGAGATTAGTCCCTGGCTCCCT